TAAAGTGCCTTTAAAGAGAATGGAGAGCACCATGGAACTGTCATGCGCTACTCAAGGAGTGTCACTCCATAGCAGGTAGAAATCTAGCAGCTTTTACGTACCACACCTACAGAGAAGGTAACATTGTAGTAGATTGGCTTGCATGTAAGGTGCAGGACATCCAGGAGGCTTTGACTACTTCATTCCCGTGGGACCTAGCTTACCTTCTTTTTCTTGACGAGGTAGGAAGAATTCTCCCTCATTGGAGTTAAGCTCTCTTTTGCATAAAAAAAAATGGGAAAAACAACAAATTTTAAGAATGTCATTGTGGGTGGAGATTCCCAATTAATAATAAGCTACTTATCCTAGAGGTTCATTGGGTGGTGAACACTGAACAGGATGAATGGAGTGGTCACATGGATTCCAATAGTGTCACAACGGTTGGGATCGAGAAGACCAGCATTAGATGAACACCTGAGATGGTTTTAACTCATGAGACGACAATGTACGACTTAACAAGAGGTTTAGAGGTGGTCCCAACAGAAACAGAAAAAAAAAAGGTGTTCCAATTCCCCCCCTGGAGTAGAGGAGGAACTCGGCCAGATGGGGAAAGAAATTTAGAGAGGGATGGGTGGGGAATGGCGAATAGCTCTCATTCCTTTAAGGACATGGCTGGAATACAAGCCTAGCCTCGTGACTCGTGAGGAGTTTTTTTTTTTTGATAGGTAAAAAACGAAAATTTCATTAATATAAAAGAAAAAATTACATGATGATGGTGATAAGGCATCACCCGGTTAGAGGTAGTTAGAGGTGAGTCGGCAATCTATCTATTCTTGGAGAGAGATACAAACAAGGAGAGCAAACAATATTTGAAGAGGTATTTGGTCGGTAAGAAGTTTGAAGGGGATCCAGCTTTGCTAGCGTTTGCGTTAGGTCTTATTTTGAAACAAAAATGGGAATTGCTTCTATGTCCCGAAGTTCAAAAGCAATGTTTTAAAACACGGAGGCATGATGCAAGGTGTTCCGCTACCTAGAGGCGTGAGGTGTAGTTTAGAACGCAAGAAGTGTAAGTCTCCCAAACACAAGGAGGCGTAAGTCTCCTTAAGAGGAGGGGGGTTAGGAGGAGGGTGAAGAGGAATAGGAGATCTCATTGTTTCTTTAAGAAGAACAAAGATGCAAAACATTAGTTGAAATGAGAGGTCTTGTTGAAGCAAAAGGGGTAGGGGGCAAACCACTTTCTTTCCCTTTATCTTTTCTTCCCTCCCTTTCCTTTTATTTTCTTTCATTTTCTCTTTTTTTCTTCTCTTTCTTTTTCTTTCCCTTCCCTTCCCTTTCTTTTCCTTTCTTTTTTTTTTCTCTTTTCTTTTTTTTTTGTCTTTTTATATCAGATGTGCATGAGGCTTATGAGGCGTACGCCTCTAGCACGCCTCATGAAAAAAGTGCGAGAAGCATATGCCTCAGAGGTGTCAACACCTTTGGCATATGCCTCAGGGCGTTTTGGGAGCACCTTGCCTGGAGGACGCCTCCCATGCCTTTTAAAACATTGTTCAAAAGTTGCCTCAAGGAATGTTCTTGGTCTTATTACTGTTAATTAAAGAAGCCAATCGTGTACTACAGGTTTGGTCGAAGGGGTTCATGATCGATGGTTTTAAGTTTTAGATCGGGAAGTGGAACCCAAGGGTTGGGGTAATGAAGGATAACTAGAAGGTTTCTTTGGTCTTCCAATGCATCTCTGGAGCCGCAAGATCATTAGACAATGGGGGAACTATGTGGTGGGTTCATTAGAGTGGACAACTCTTACTTGGCTAAGGAGAGCTGCAAATGGGTGCACTTGAAAGTGGAAGTGGAAACGTTCAATCCCAACAGCTATCAAAGTTGTCTATAGAGGCATTATCTACATGGTTGCTATCTGGCCAAAATTTCTTCCCGAGATCTATTAGTTTCGGAAAACTTGGGGAAGAAGGCTATTACAAAGCAGGAGAGAGCCTCATTCCTTAGAGTAACTAATGGAGGAAGAGAGGGTCTATGGCGATAGGATTGGGAGATCAATAGGATTGAGAGTCCCATTTGAGAAGTTAGAAGCTGGGGGAACAAGAATAGGCAGAGAGACCGGTGATCCAAACACCACCAATGAACAACGCCGCAGGAATCTCATATGGAGGTCCCGAAAGCAAAGAGGTAGCTGTCCGCTTAGGCGGGCCCTTTTCTTTTCCAACCCACCTCGAAACCCGACCCAAATTTTAGGAACTTCACAAAGTGTGCAAGACATTCGAAGAGGTCATGGGTATTAATTCAAACTTTGAACCGAAAAAATTTGTATCAAGAAGACAAGAAGCTCTCAAGGACCTAATTAGAGAAGTGATGGTCGAAGCCTTGTTTTTTATACCTAGCTAGCCTGAATCAGTGGCCCATTCTCCCGTAATCCAAATCTCTAACCTTGCCCACTTAAACCCAACCGTTGACCCTAGTAACACTCTAGCCCAAGCCAATATCTCTCAAGTTCTACCAAATCCCCAAGCTCTACCTTCTACAAGACCCCCTTCTTTGTCAACCCAACCACGTGTCCCCTCCAAGCCAAACCAGCACCCTTCATACCCTCAAGGCCATGGAACAAAGGTATTCTGGAAGAAGAGGTGAGTCACTTTATCATGAAGGTCATCAAAGATTGCCTTGAAGGTCCACTGGTGGCAATTCTATCTCATCGTTGGCGTCAAAGCCTACCCTAGTTCCAGTTGATGTTTCCAAGCACCATAAATGCAATACCTAAACTCTCATGTCTCCCAGCAAATGGCATGCAACCAGGTTGGCTATCCCAAGTGAACTCTCAAACTCCAACGCATGTGCCTTGCCAAACACAAGGACAAACTGGAAGAAGAGGAGATATTGTCAATTTCCCCACTTGTTGTGGTAGGGGGGGGGGTGAATGTAGAGTTAGAAGCTCTTGGCAGGGAGAATGAACAAATGTCTAGGACCACGTTCAGCCTCATATTTCCTGGCCCTAACAACTTCACAATCAAGTTTTTCAAGAAATGTTGGTCCTACCGAATGTCTTAGCAGTTTTCTCTGAGTTCACGTCACTACCGAGGTGGCCGATGCAGTAAAAGCTACTTCATTAACCCTCATTCTGAAGAAGAGGTCGGAGCATTTTAATGACTACAGGTCAATCAGTTTAGGGAGCAATGAATGAATTGACTCTTGAATCAAAGTAGGTGTTTCAGCTTTCAGGTGTGGTTTGCAAGTTGGATTTGGAAAAGGCATATGACCATGTTCATTGGGACTTTGTTGAGTATATTCTAAGAAAATTGGGTTTTCGCTTGAAGTACAGGGAGTGGATCACAAGTTGTATGGCTACAGCAAAGGACGTTTGCTGTAGGGGAGGTGCCCCATCTTGATGAACTGGCTGCTGTTTTGGGCAGTGGAGTAAGCAATCTTCCCTCGAAATTTGATGGGCTTCCCCTTGGGGGACACTGTAAAGCTAAGGACGTTTGCAACCCAGTAATTGAAAGGATTAAATTCAAGCTAGCCAGCTGGAAGAAAGTTTACTTGCCAAAAGGAGGAAGAGCCACTCTTATCGGAAGTGTCCTTTCAAACCTGCCCACCTATTTTATGTCGTTGTTCAAGGCTTCTGGCTTGGTGATTAGAACTATTGAAAAATTGAGGAGAGACTTCCTTTGGGATGGCTTGAAAGAGAAAAAGAGTTCTCACTTCATGGCTTGGTCTGAGGTCTGTATTCTGTAAATCCAAATAGCAAGGGGGCATAGGCATTAAACCTTTCAAACAAATGAAAATAGCTTTGCTAACCAAGTAGCTGTGGAGGCTTACAACGGAGTGCGACCTGCTTTGGAAATCTGTAATGCAGAACAAATATGGGGAAGCTTCCTTTCGCTGGGAATCAGGTGCAACACCTGAAACTGGTGGAATGAGTGTGTGAAAGGCTATTTTGCAGAACAGGAATCTTTTTTTCGGCTGCATTTCTTTCAAGCCTGGTTTTGGTGAAGGAATTGTTTTCTGGAGAGACGAGGTGCGGTGCCAACCCTCTCAGCATGGATTTTCCTTTAATCTATGCTTTGACTCCCAACAAGGAGGCACAGGTCTGTGAATGTCTTGACTTTTCAACCAGCTTGTTTGGATGCCAAGGCTTAAAAGAGAGGCAAATGATTGGGAAGTGGAAGCTCTCATGGGTTTGCTGCAAGCTATGGAAAAAGTTCAGTTTCAACCCCAAGGTATTGACAGGATTTGGTGGACCAAAGAAGCTTCTGCTATTTTTACAGTGAAGTCAATGCTGAATTCCTTGCTTTTGACAGATGATCCTTTCCCCCATTGGGTTTGGTTTTGGAAGACAGCCATTCCATTGAAGGTTAAGTTCTTTATTTGGGTTTCCATCAAGGGTAAAATTCCCACTATAGATGTGTAGAGGAGAAAAGGGATGATCCTTGTTAATCGATGTTGTTTATGTGGGGAGGCCAAGGAATCTGCCAATCATCTGCTCATCCTTTGCAGCTACTCTCACAAGGTTTGGGCTCATGTGTTTGGCATGAACTAGATCACCCCGTCGGACCTTGCCCTTCCTCTTGCCTCAGTGGCGTGGTCAGGCTTTTTCAAAGAGGGGTAAGGTTCTCTGAAAAATCTCCCCTTTGGTGGTTTGCTGGTGCTTATGGAGAGAGGAACAACCGCTTATTTGAAGACAAGGCCAGTCCTCCGGAGAAAGTGTGTGCTGCTACTGAGAAAACTTTGGTGAAATGGATCTCCATTAACAATCTATTTAGGGGTTCCCATTTTAAGCATTTTGCTGATCATTGGAATGCTATCATATGGGATGATGATTTCTCGTTGTAATCCATAACCTGTTGGCTTTATCTGTATCTGGCTGCTGAGGAAATCTCTACCTCAGTAGCCTTATCTTTTTCTAATCTTTTGGTAATATTCACCGATTCTCAAAAAAAAAAAAATATAGGCAAGTAATGAGGGAAAAAAGAAAACTGATGCAAGAATTTCAACAAATATTTCAATGCACCATAAGAGAAGCAAATGACTTGGCGGATACATTAACCAAACAAGGGGTAAACAGGGCACAACTATATTGGGGAAAAACAAATGAAGAAGCCGGGAGCTAGTTTATTATATATTACTAAAACTTATATTGGGGTTAGGCAGAGCCTAGGACTACCTAGGGATTATTGGGGTTATGAAATCCCTTGTTAGGATGGAAGTATTCCACCTATCCCTATACATGTTGAAATCATTATACTGCAGGCCAGAAAAGTTGCTGTCTATTAACCTAATTTTGCTAACATGTCAGCCATTCCATTTGCTGATCTGTTGACCCATTTAAATGATATAACCTTTCCACCTGTCAACCACTGAATCTTCTTGATAACTTGCCTAAATTGCCACATTGCCTGGCTGTTATTGTGAATGAAGCCAACTGATAGTCCCCTTCCATTATCAACTTTCTGATGTCCATTAATTGTCTTAGATTCACTATTGTAATACAGCCAACAGTTCTGTTCTTAAAGAGTTCCTATCTCTAATAGGCCCCGAGAAAAGCACCTTCACTCCGCCATAACCATCCCTAAACACCATTCCCACTCCTGAAGAACCTAAATTACCAATGCTAACCCCTCTTTTTGTATGCTATGTTGTTTCATATTTAATATGGTCAGATGTCAAAAAAAAAAAAAGAAGAAATAAGAACTATGTATACCTCAATTGGATAGCGTTACATCTGGTTCTTACATCTCTTGCGGTTGTGGCCAGCCTCCTTGCATAGACTGCAATGAAGTGGCCTCTTCTCTTTGTTTTGAGGCTCCATATTTTTTTCTTTGTTTTGAGGCTCCATATGTTTCTTTGGACGACCACGCAAACGGTGAAGACATGGAGGAGGAGAAGGAGGACGAAGAAGACCAAGTCCAGAACTTGAAGCATCATCATCAATCCCATTCATGGAGGTACCATCGGGTATTTCCTTTGTCCATACTCCATGCATGCACTCTGAGTAAATGGCCTGTTGTGTCTCTTTTAGGTAGCATTTTTCCACATATGAATAAATGTCAGCTTGAATACTTGTAAGTGCTGCACATGCATGTATACATGGGAGACCAACCATATCCCACTCCCTACAAGAGCAAGTCCTTTGGTGCAGGTCCACACAATAATTGATAGGAATCCCAAACACTTCAAATCTAAAGGCTGATGAACAACGAAAATGTAATCCTTCACTTTTGCTAATATTCCTTTTCAACATTTCTTCAATTGTACCACCCACAGGAAATTTCCAGGCAGCACAATTAGTTTGCCTTCCAACCATGATATCTGTTATATTTTTATGGATTAGGTTAATCAATTCTATTATTGACAACTCTTGTGCTTCTGGAATCCATGCACCATAAGAACCGGCAATATTCACACTGAACTGGTCATAACGCTTGCCAGGGAATAGTGAATTAGCCCAGTGAATAGGTTCATTTTTCAGAACCCAGTCATATGCGTTCTCTGAAATAGACCTCATTTTCCCCAAAGAATCGTCAAAATCCACCCTAGTCTTTGCATATGCAATTTCATCCAATAACATCTTTAGCACATCCTGCACTGAAGGGGACAAATGTAAGCATTTTAACATCATCTTGAAACCTTCTGTCAAGTGACGGTAACAATGTGCATGAAGCACTGACCCATATATCTCCTCAACTGCCTTAACAATGTCTTCCTTCCTGTCAGACACAAAAATGATATCTCTATTGTCATCGAGAGCCACCTTTACATTTCTAAAAAACCATCTCCAATTTTCCAAGGATCCTGACTCAACCACAGCAAAAGCCACAGGAAACATCCTATTGTCAGCATCCACAGCTGTCACAGAAAGTAATGTATGGAGATATTTTCCATTCAAGGATTTCTCCTCCACAAAAAGAATAGGACGGCAACCAACACGGAACCCATGAATAGAAGCATAGTAAGCAATAAATAGCTGATGGAATGTTGAGTCACTTTTTGATGTGTACACAGCAACAGTGCCAGGGTTAGACTCAATCAGTCTTTGGCAAATCCAAGGTACAAGCTTGAAGGAGTTCTTCAGTGATAAATTTACAGCCTCCTTTACAGTTTCCTTGCCCCGCCAGGCCCGTTTATAAGCTATGTCAACATTGTAGTCACGCTTTATTTCCTTAACTATTTCCCGTGGTGTATAAGCAGGGTTATTTCGAAATTTTTCCTTTATAATATTAGAAACCCACATCTTTGATATTCGGTACTTCACAGTGTCCTCATAATTAGTTGGGTGGGTATGTTTATCTTCATATTTGCGTACACAAAATATGTTGGAGTTTCCTACTGCACTAGCATAGATTTTCCATTGGCAGCCATCAGCATCACACTGCACAATTATGCTTTCACGGCCATTCTTGATATACTTGTACCCAAAACGGCAAGCTATTGAGAAATTGGCAAGTGCATTTCGGAACTCATTGCCACTGTCAAACATCTGTCCTACCCCTTTTATGGCATTCTCCCATAATGCAGACAGCAATGGAGCTTTGTCATTTGACCTGTTTGTTACTTCCTCAAGGTTAGAATCTTCAACTACAGATCCTACCAAAACATCTCCAGAGCACCTGGATCATAGTAATTTGAGTTACTTATCAATGATAATAAGAACATTATCTGCCATAAAAGAAAAATGTCATCACYATGCRAATTACCTTGTAGTTTCCTGGGGTTCTACACACCTCTCTTCTTTAACTACATACACATCCGCAAATCCTTGGTTAAAACCTAGCAAATTTGCAAAATCAGACTGATCCGACAAAGCAAGAAGGCGGCTCTTGTCAAATGGAGTGGAATATTTCAAGGTTACTGTGTTTGGATCAATTTCAAATTTGCTGCAKAGMTCGCGTATAAAATCACTGTATTTGGTATTGCTGTCAACTCTCACTCCTTTTGTAATGCCGCCTTTGTAAGAAACAGATCCATCTGGATATGTTACTAACTCACCACCACTCATGCAATAGCATAAGATTACCTTCTCCGAGTTAGACACCATTCCTAAATATTAGTTCTACACAAATCAGAGTTAAAACTGATTCTATTTTGTAGAACAGTTGAGAAATGTTTTCATGGTCCAATTAAAGCAGTGCATTCCAGTACTACGGTAAATGTAACACTTGATATGGTAAGCAATGCCCTAAAACATCAAAGAACAGACAATAGTTACCAAATCATACATCTTTCTATGTAATAAATCACCCGAACCACTAGGACACTGAAGAAAAGAAAACATTAACCAAATCCACCAGATATTGTATGTCAAAACCCTATAAAGTTGAATAACAGAGAATCATAATACACCCCACCAAGTTATTTTATATAATAGAACAACCAAAACCCTAATAAATTGAATAAAATAGAATCGTAACACAACCCCACCTGATTATTGCCTGCAACAAAGCAATCGAAACAAAAAAAAAAAAAAAATCATTGAAGGTAGAGCACATTAACCCAAGCAATTTGCTTGTTGTACGTAAAAAAAGCAACAAAAGCCCTAGAGCACTGAATAACAGAATCTTAGTCCAACCCAGCCAGCCAAACAGACAGAAGAAAATTTAACTCGGCATGTTCAGGAACCCACATTCAGTGATGGACCAACCTGGAACTCGAAGGGGCTCTTCTATGGCCGATTTGGAACAGAGAATGAGAGGACTCCCAGTGTTCTTCAACGTTAAAGAAGGATTCTTCCGTGGCCACCGACGGTTCTGCAGTTGATCGAAATGCAAGTGAACCCTGAAAAAATTGACTCTGGATCTCCTGCCCGCATAAACTCTACCCATCCCTACCCACAAAAACACTACTTCCGTGGATTTGAAATATCTTTCCGTGCATAATAATATGAGTGGATGAGATGTAATGTTACATGGGTAGCAAATAAACAACCTTTGGACTACTTATTTTAAGTCTTTAATACGAATTTATCCCTATATTATCCCTACATCCCAATATCATCCCTACAAATAGAAAAGAAAACTCCCTCTTATCGTTACCGAGAAAATGGCCAAAACGACTAGTGGGTGTACCATTTTAATTTTTTTTTGGTTTTTCTTACATCTACTCTCTCTCTCTAATGGCAAATCGATAGGAAACTCATCAATAATGAGATGTATGTATTCTTAGAATTACTTGGGTCATTTTTACCGCTGATATTTTTTATATATTAAATTGAAAAAAAAAAACATCAACCGAAATTACTTTATGAAAATTGATTTTTGAAAGTAATTAATGAAAAGTATATTTTCAAAATACTTTGTGAAAGCTGCTTTTTGAAAATATTATCATTAAACATTTTCTGGGTTACCCAAATTTATGATCTAGGTCCATACAATTTGGATCCTACCTACCCATAATGATGAAGTAGTACTTGGATTGATAGATTTAAGACACATAACAAAACCATAAACATAAAAAAAAAATATGAATCTTGAAATTTACACAAGGAATTTATTAATGCATACCATTTCTAGCTTCTATTGTGTTGGTTAATTCAAAGAGATGTTTAGATCATCCCAACTGAATTTACTTGATCTACCTTATGATCTAGTACAGTGGGTTTTCATTCTCAAGTTTGAGCTTGCAAAGGCTTACAATTGTAGGCACAACGTGGGTTCTCACCCAACTTCTATAAGATAATCCACTATTGCATTTTCTTCAACTTCTTTTACGTATCTTAATTAATGCCTTAATGGCATGATTTGTGATGCGTTAACGTTTGTCCCTAAAACAAGCCTAATGGCAAGATTGGTGATGTGTTTGTCCATGAAAAAAGCCTCCATTAGGGGTCTCCTCTTTCACCTTATTTGTTTATTCTCTATATTGATGTCCTGTATCTACGTTGCTAACACAACATCTTGATACAAGTGATCTAAAGGGTTTTGGAAATAGCTAGAGGTGGTCCTATATTAATCCACCTTCTCTTTGTTGATGATATGCTAACGTTTGCAAGGAGCTCACTAGCTAAGCCAGAAAAGATCAATGAGTTGTTTTGATAGTATTGTGGTTGGTGGGGACAAGAAGTTCATCTCTCAAAATCAGCTTTCCTATTTAGCAAAAATGTATACTAGCATCACAGAAAGATATTAGCTCAGAATTTAGGGCTTCATTTACTACACTGGTTCGACAAATATTCAGGAGGTCCCTTGCCAATTGATGGTAGAATTAAAGATAATCAGTAATTCATAATCAATAAGGTGAGGGACATGTTAGAAAGGATAGAAGATTGCATGTTTATCACATGTTGGGCATAAAGTTCTTATAAAGTTAATGATTTCAAGCATCCCCATTTATTGTGTGGCAACCCAACTATTACCTTGTCAAGTTCCAGATTCCGTATCCTCTTTGACTTTAGATTTTTGGTGGTCAGGGATATGAAAAGAATACACAACACATTTATCTTTGTGTTTGGAGTTCCTTTCAATTCATAAATCTATGAGAGGGCTTGGCATCAAAGAATTTGGAGTTTTAAACAAAGTCTTGGCCCTAAAGCTCACGTAGCATTTCATAACTAATTCAAGCACTTGAATCAAGTTTAGTTCAATGCACCATAACTAACTGTAGAAATATTTTGGTATGGGTCTTGTCTCCATTTTATGCTTTTATGTTTCTCTTTGCATCAAAGGGCGATTCTTGCTAGAGAATTGTTGTCCTTAGGTCATTTAACCTTTTTGGAAACATGGGAACTAATTCTTGATTTTTTTATCCTTAGTTATTTTTTAAGAGATTTTATTCTCCTTTTATATTCCCATCTACTTGATTTTTAGGCTCCTGTTGGCTCTCAACCGAGTACTGACCTATTGTGGTGGGTATATTGTGTGTTGGTTGATTGTTGGAGTGTTGTAGTGCTATCAAGTGTCTTGTTCAAGTCTAAGGGAATAGTCGAAAGAGGTAGAAACTATTTTTAGGATACTTCTAGGTAGTTTTGATTCTTCTAATGGTATGATAACCACTGTAAAATTTCATGGGACAATCTTTTTAGAGTGGTCTCAATCAACCAAACATACCACTAAAGGAAGGGTAAGCTAGGATTCATTACAAGCAAGGAGGTGAAGCCGAAATTTGATGACTCCAAATTTGCCAAGTGGGAATAGGAGAATTCTTTGGTTATATCATAGTTGGTCTTTCAATGCAACCATATATTGCCCTTAATTACTTGTTTCACTCTATTGCCAAAAATATTTCGGATCATGTTACAACTATGTACTCTTAGGTTAGGAATACTACTCGAGTCTACTAACTTCGAAGGGAAGCATTCAATGTGCATCAGAGGGAGAGGACTATGGCTATGTACTTCTCTTCCTAGAAATCTCTTTGGGAAGAGATGGACCATCTAGAGGCATTGAAATGGAAAAATCCTGAAGATGGTGAACAATACCCAAAATATGTTGAGAAGAATTGAGTATTTGATTACTTGGTGAGCTTGAATTCGAAATATGATTTTATTTGACAACACATTTTGAGTGCAGATATTGTTTTACTTTCCACTACATACTCCCTAATATAGGGAGAGGAGAGTCGGAGGGCAGTCATGATGCAGACTGCCATAGTTGAGTATCTGGATTACATATCCTCCAAATCCAAGCAAAGTGTAAATAGACAAGGGTTAATAAGAAGAATGATGAGGTGGTGTGTGAATATTGTGCGAATCCCAAACACACTAAGGACCGGTATTGGAAGTTGAATCCACACTTGAAACTTTAAAGTTTTAAAAAAATTAAGAAGGAAAATGTTCATCTTGCTACTGTGGAAGTTTATTATCCCTCTCCTAGTGTTTAAGCTCATTTACATAATTCCTCTTATGTGATGGAGAATCTAAGGAGCCTATTGACTCAACTGGAGAAGTCAAGGTTCTCCATCTCAATTGGCACCAATAATCCTTATAGTACTTTTCTTAAAATCATTGTAGTTGATGGATCTCAAACTCCAATTTTGGGTTTGGGTGAAGTTAAGCTAACTTCTTCATATTCTTCAGTTGCACAAAAATCTTTTATTTGTTAGCTCCCTTACCAAATCCCATAATTGTTCAATGACATTTTTCCTTCACATTTTGTTTTTCAAGACTCAAGTATGGGGATGATGTTTGGAACTACACATGAAATTGATGAAGTTTACCTTTTTCATCAACCTCCTAAGCAAAGATTACTACGCCAGACTGAGTTACGTCAAAGTAAAAAATTTGTGTCTTTTGAAGTTGTGGCATTGTCGCCTTAGTCATGTATCTTTTAAGTCCATTAAGCTTTTTGTTTCCAAACTTGTGTCAGTACATATCCAACTTAAGTCTACAATGTGAAGCCTGTCATCTCTCAAAGCAATGTAAAACTACATATTTTGCGAGTAATAAAAAAGTGGTGTTGCTTTCAATTTAATACATATTGATGTTTGAAGCCCATATTCTATTCCTTGTATAAATGAATATAAATACTTTATCCTGTTTATTAATGATTACTCTCGATACACCTAACATTATTTATTGAAAACTAGAGATGAAGTTACCTCCATTGTTCAAAATTTATTTAGAATTGTGGAAATTCAATTTGAAAAGGACATCAAGATAATAAGGTCTAACAATGCTAAGGTGTATTTTGAAAAGCATGTTCCACTCTTCAAGAAAAATGAAAAATTCATCAAAGATCATATTCTCATACTCCGCAATAAAATGATATAGCAAAGGGGAAAAATAGACATGTGGTTGAAGTTGCAAAGGGCTACTCTTTCATATGCATGTACCCACTCGTTTTTCGGGAGATGTAGTTGAAGCAACAATGTATCTCATTAACAAACTTCATTTACGGACTTTTCACCTCTAATATCCTCATCTTCTCTTCCCTAATGATTCCATTTTTTCATTCTCTTAGAGTCTTTGGTTGTAATTGTTTTGTTCATGATTTGAGTTCTTGTCTCAAACTTGACCCCACGACCATTAAGTGTGGTTTTTTTAGTTACTCATTAATTCAAAAGGGGTACAAGTGCTTTGATCCTTACACTAGCAAATGATATGTGTCTAAGAATGTTATATTTCTTGACTCTACTCTATTCCTTTATTCACCACGTCCTTCTCTTCAGGGGGAGAGCATCAGTGAAGATCAGACTCCATTTTGTCTCCCTATTCCTACCTCTATGGGTGTTTCTAATTTATCTTCTTTTCTTCCCACTTGCAGTGAAAGTACTCCTACTCCTATTCCTCCTCGCCCTATTCCTTAGTAGTGGTCCTAGCAACAATGGTTCATAAGGCATAAAAGGTTACTCAGGAGGTTGTATGTCCACAACAATCTAACCTACCAATTCTAGGTAATTTTGAAAGCAACCTTCAACCTCAGACTCCTATTAACTTTAAACTTTTTATTCCTACTTTTGATGAACCTCGTATCTTACACCCTAACCTTGGCTAGGGATGGAAATTTTCCCCATTTCCCCGATCCCCGTGGGGATCCGCCTCGAATGGGGCAAGGATGGGGATGATTTTTTCCCCTGCGGGGATGAGGATGGGGAAATTTTCATCCCTGTTAGCGGGAACGAGGCGGGGATGGGGAGAGAACTCCCTGCCCCGCGGGGACCCTGATCCCCGCTTCGTGGGATCCCCACTAATATATATGTATATATGTATGCATATGTTATATATGTAAACATACATGTATATATTAATATTTTTAAAAATATGGTTGAATATGTTCTAATACAATTGTAAATGTTAATT